CATGATATGTGAACAAGGTAAATAAGTATAGCTGTATTTCCGCATTCCAAAGGAAGTTTATGAACTGAAATTTAAGTTGACATTTAAGCATAATTAACTGTAATGAAAATGCCTAGACTAGATAGAGACATAGATTTATATGCAACAGTCAGAAATGCAGTTCTTGGCAACATGCAGATTTTCAAGATGAACTCCACTGTCAAATGTGATGTGTTAGGTGTTGAATGACTGTTGCAGACTCTCTTTAACCGGTTTACACTTTATATTCTCAGTAACTGGACTGTATTCTACCTCTGGGACGCTGTCTGCCCTCACTAGATGAGGTCAGTAGATAGCTAATAGGCTCAATAACATTGAGAAACAGACTTCAAATTCAGACCTTTCCAGAAGAGCTACAGTAAAACTGCATATAAAATGAAGAATATGTTACTTGTATGCCTGTTAAAAGCTTCATAATCTGTGCATAAGCTAAAATTGGCATCAGGCATGATTATACAACACTTCTGGTTTGGCACTAACAACATTACAAATTAACATAGGGAGGCTAGCAGAAATTAGCATTATGCTAGCAGCTATTGGCCCAATGCGAGCCTACTTATAAAACAAATGACAAAGTTTCTGCATTGAACATTGCTATCTAATGACAAACAACTGGCAGATCTTCATGTTTTTACAACTGCACCTGTTTCACAGCACAAACAAAACAGTTCATGACTGAAAAATTCCATTCTTTATTTTACATTCTGTTGGATCCATGCTTACCAGTTGCCCTTTCCTCCCGAACTCGGCACTCCATAGACTCAAACATGTGCAATATAGGCTTGTGTATGCTGAAATAAGTTCTCTCCTGCTGTTCTAGAGCAGGAGAATCAAATGGGATCTCCCACAATCTCCCACACCACTGTGACTGTTGCTGTTTTCATCTCTACATGTGATAACAATTTCTCTAGGTTTTAGCACCACTTCATGAGTTATGAATAGTAAGTACAAGTCACATCACGCTGCTCTGTACATAAGCCACAACCCCACGTCTGTTGCAAATTCGGATGATGTCATGCGTTATTCAGGTATTTGCTGCTGGAGTGCATCTGTAAGTGTTTTTGTTCTTTCAGCTTTAAAACAACGAGAAAGAGAGGAGATGTGAGGGCTAGAGCCTGTGGACAGAAACATGAAAGATAAGAGATTGGAATAGTAGGAAAATGTTTTTACAGGATTTGAAACTGAACATCATCAAATTTGCCGTTAATAAAAATTAAGGGAAAAATATCAGTAGCTCTCATGGTAGGAAAAGGTTAGAGACCCTTGATGTAAAGTAAAATCAGGCATAGCACAAACATTTATTGGTTTGTACAAACATTTATTCGTTCTTTAAAAATATATCAGTGTATGTGAGGGTTTGAACATCCCTGGTCAAATTACACATTTTGTCGAGAGAACACACTTAAATATGACGTTTTCCTCTAACTTTTAGTGCACAATTTCTATTTATTTACTGAGTTTAACATATTAGAAAAAAATAAGACATAAATACAAAATGTGCATACACTTTTGCCCCGGCCATTTTTTCTCCTAATGTAAGTTCTGCAAATAAAAAGTAATTGAGCATTAAAATGTGCAGAAGTGTGTTCTCTGTAGAAGTGTGTTAACTTAATTTCACTTAGAAAATCAATAGAACATGAAATTTGTCCAGGAGTGCACAAACTTTTGCATAGGACTGTATATTTCATTGTAACAGGCATTTCTGGTGCAATTTTTTTTACAAAGCGAGTGTTAAAACCTGGCCATTTTCACAGTTACTCTAACTTTATAAAATCTTAAACTGTGTTATGAGGAAGGTTAATTATACATTATGTTTTGTGCAGATTACAGTGCCAAGCAACAAAGACCAGAACTGTTTTTCAGGAAGCTTTTTAAATGTCAGAATGTAACACCTTGGATTTCCTCACATTGCATTGCTATTGCACTGGGTTGCATCCACATCTTGCCCACCTTAATGTTGTAGTGTGCAAACTGCAACATTTGTCAGGGAGCTGTCAGCGAAAGCCTCTGATGCATTATGTACTTTTGAATTTTCATTATGTTCACATCAACGGTCGCAAATAAGTCCACAAAGCATTCCTTTAATCTGTTCTTTTATCCATAAATCTGAGACTAGTACATAAACAGTTTACTCCCTTTCTGCCCTGTTAAGCCCTGTTGAGATTATGTAACGCTTCATGAGTTTTAAATGGGCTGGCGACTGTGCTGTATGTCACACAGGCCGTAGCCATCAATTGCCGCTTTTTTTAAAAGAGTAGAAACTCCTCATACATATGGCAAAACTCTGCATTCATGCTGTGTTCATCTGTCGTACTGCTATTTTCAAGCTTTCCCTGGAGAGCATGCAGTGGAGAAATAATAAAAATAATCTGTTTAAACGGGCTTTCAGTCTCAGATGGAGGCTTGAGCAGAACGAGAGAAGCGAGGGAGGCATTTAAACACTTTCAATGTAAAAATGGCACGGCGTTTTAAGTGGCAAAGGGAGAGCGTAGCAACAGAGTTTAAGCAGTGGAATGTTTATTCTGAAACAGTTTTCTGAGATGGATGACATTTTAAACTGCAAATAGATGGCATGCCGCAAGCCGCTTTTGCTTGAAATCTCTGTCGCTTCACCATATAACAGAGAAACATCAGACCAGTAGGAACTCTTATAACATGAGCATAACAAGATGTTTGTTCGGCGTCAGTGGGAAGGCCCAGGGAGATTCTTTTTGAGAATCAGATGTTAAGTAGGCGCGGCAGTAGCTTTTAGCTTGGTATCCTCAGTTTCGGCTGTGAAGTTGTGGGGAGGAATTTCAAAAACCAAATTGAGGAAGAAAAAAAAATATCACGCGAACACAGCTTTGCACCTCAATGACTTGCAGGTGATTTTCAAACAGTAGGCTGTCTGGAATATAAATGCACCCCCACTCAAATTCAGACATAGCAAGCAATTTAACGCTAGCCAGAAAGACATAAGTGGATCACCCTCCTGAAGGAAGTAGAATCGTGCCAGTTATTTTCTGCTCTTCTATTTTTTGTTCATCTTTCTGTTCTGCACTGTATTCGTGTGGCTCGGAAGTACGGACTCTTGAATCATTTTTTTCTCTCCCAGGGCCATTATCGCTGTAGAAAATGCTGTTCTGAGGTTTAAAGTTGATGTTTTCTGTTCATTCAGGCTGCAGAAATTTTCATGTCCAGCAAAGATTTATGTAATTAATGCACTGAAATGTGCCTGTTTTTGTTCTGTTGAATAAATCAAGCTGACTTACTAAAGAAATGATTTCACGTGTATGTGAAAACCTGTCTCTTTTTTTTTTCTTCTCTGGCAGCTTGAAATGAAGTGGCCCCTAGTTACAGCTGGCTCTCTGACACTAGCAAAGAGACTTGCACAATGTTCGAGAACATGAAAGAACCCTCATTTTATATTCACAGAACCTGCCTCTGCTATTCAGCCTTTGAACTTCCATTAAGCAGTTTATCACTGTGCAATTCATTTCCTTTTTCTAACCCTCGGGATGAATAGTATTTCTCAGCACTGCGCTGGTAACATTTTTTCTTACGCCTTGACCAGTCCAAAGTACTCAGACTGTTATTGTTATTCACTTGTAGCTTTTCTCTTCAGAGCAGATAACAGCGGAAAAATTAGTTTCCCAATTTAGTACATTCCCTAACTTATAGTGAACTGTTGCCAGCTTCCAGTGGGGTTTGAGATGTTGTTCTAAAAGTGCTATGTTCTTATAATTGCCACTGATTCATACTTGCTGTTTAAATCATATGAGGGTTATGATGGTGAATGCAGGTGAAGTTATCATTGTACATCATGTACATTTACATTCAGCAGATTCTCTTTTCAGAGCAACTTGCAGTTGTATTCACAGTGTTAAAGGTTTGTGAGATCACAGTATATCGTCATCCAATCGTGCGCCCTAGGGGTGTCACAGTGGGGGGGCCAGTGAGAGAGAGCATTTCCAAAACAAAAAAAGGGCCGCTTTCCCACGATGGTCGATATTGCAAGTGAGCTACCATCTGAGCATATTTTGAGGGTACATGGGAAAATAGTGGTGTGATTAGTCTTTAGTAACCTGTTTCGGCACAGATGGTCAGGTGGTAACTCAGAGAAGCATGATTAAACTGGCGAAAATAATCTTACAAGCTACGTTTTTCTTGTTGTAGTTTGGTAGACCTTGCTGTAGGTTTTGTTAAAAATGAAAGAAGTAGCTTTACTGAGTCAGGAAGAAAATGTTTTTCGGACCAAGTCATGCATCTCTTTATGTATTAACAGCACCTGAACAGGCTAAAAGAAGGTCCAGCTCAATATTTTGGCCTCAAATGCAAAATCACCATTATACTGATGAAGATGGGATGACAGTAGATCGTTCACCTGCATCTTCAGAACACATCTTTCACCAAATTCTCTTTGAATACTTTTTTAACACACTTTTTCTTCTGCTTGGGGAAGAGGCCCAAAGCACAACTATGGTACAAATTGTTCTTGCCACATGTTGCTTACAATTTCCACCAGAGAGGTCTCCAACGTCCCAAAACTTGCATAGTATTGCTTTAAAATGATAAAATGACCAAGGCTGACCATATTAAGTTGGCCTACAGGCTGTTGTTACTTTAGCCTATTTTTATTAGTGCATTAAACTGGGTTTTACTACATTGTCTGTTTTTGTTTTTTAGCAACTTTGATGTAAACACAACATCCAAATAATTTAAGTCCACCTTCATTTCATGAAGGATGATGTTCTGTTTTTGGAAAGCTGGCAAGCCTGACCATGGTTATATATATTCTGTTCCGAAGCCAGGAAACATATCCAGAGAAGATATATGACTACTGCATTGTAAACCTGCGGACAACACATTTTCTTACATTTAAATCGCCCTTAGGCATCTCAATAAATGCAGTTCAAGATTTTATCACAATACTGTCAGTCGCCTCAAGCCTAATATGTTACATTTGTTGGCTTTCTTTTCAGTTCCGCCGTCCATTCATGAGATGAAGAGTCATGGGGTCCGGCCTGGTTACACGGCGCTGCTGAGGTGCGAGGCAGCTGCTGTCCCAGCTCCAGTCTTTGAGTGGTACAAGGGGGAAAAGAGGTAGGACCCAAAGGCAGGATGATAAAAAGCCTGGCTTTTATCTCTTATTTTTTGCACTGAGTTGATAAACATTTACTCATCTTACATTATTATGCATTATATAAGTCAGTTCATCCTTGATTCAAGCTGCATGCTGCAATGAAGATTTATGTCAGCTGGTTCCTCTGTTGAGTAAAGTGTGCCTTTGAGGATAGTAGGCCAGCGATACAATCTAAATTCCTGTAAATATTCAGGCCATACGAGTAGGTGAACAGGGGATCCAGATAAGAGATTTTTTTTGCTTTATTGCTGCAGGGAAGCATGGGAGTAAAACACTTCCATTCACTGATCTTTTGGATGATTATTCATATTCAATATTCATGCTTTCAGTCTCAAGAGCACATGCATTCTGTATGTTCACTGCATTCCTGCACATCTAAAATTCAGCATGATTATTTATAACTCATAGCATCATCATTCAGCTAATCTCAGAAGTCACGCTATGAAGTGGTGAAAGCCAGTATTGAGAAATCTTACACTATAAGGCTCAACCTTGAATTTTAATTAAATGTTTGCATAACCTCACCACCAGTAAAGAGCATTTCCAGTTTCTGCATCAATCAGTGTCGGCTCAAGTGGTGGTTCTTGAATTTAAATACCAAATTACCCCATTACCCATCATTTACCCACTCTTTCTGAGTACGATCTGAATCAGCAGTTCACACTGTGCTAATTGTAATTATAGGCTTCACTCAATTTATTCAAATTGCTAAGGAGGCATTGGCATTGGTTCTAGGGTTTGCCTAATTTCAGACTTTACATTTGTTATTCTTTATAAACCATCAGCTTTTTTTCTTTCTTGTTTTCTCATGAAAACCATGGAATGCATGCTATAGTATTAATGTTGCAGGCTTTAAATAATAACCTGCACATACTCTTTGCTTTGTTGATACCTTTAAAGGTAGTGAATGGTGTTGTGTTTAATATACACTGATAGCCAAAACACTATGACCAATTGCCTAATATGCTGTTGGTCATCTGTATGCCACCAAAACAGCCGCCAAGGCATGGACTCTACGGGACCTATGGAGGTGATATCTGGCACCAAGACGTTAGCAGCAGATCCTCTCACATGTTGCGAGGTGGAGCTACACAGATCAGACTTGTTTTTCCAGAGCATCCCACAGATCCTTGATCAGATTGAGATCTGGGGAATTTGGAGGCCACAGCAACACCCTGAACTCTTCATCATCTTCCTCAAACCAGGGAGCATCATCCTGCTGAAAGAGGACCCTGCTGTCAACGAGCACCATGGCCATGAAGGGGTGTACCCAGTCCATAACAATGTTTAAGTGGGAGAAACTTGTCAAATTTTAAGTGGGAGGAACAGAGCCAGAGTTTCCCAGCAGAGCATTGCCCAGAGCATCACACTCACTCTACAGGCTTGTCTTCTTTCCACAGTGCATCCTGGCGCCATTACTTCCCTAGGTAGACAGTGCACACGTACCCTGTAAAAGAAAATGTGCCTCATCGAACCAGGCGAACTATTGCTCCAGGTTTAGTTCTGACGCTTGTCCAGTGTAGGTGCTTTCGACTGTGGACAGCGGTTATTGTGGGCATTCTGACCCAGAATGAAGCATGGTGCGATTCACTGTGTGTCCAAAATTCCCGTGACTTGTGCCACAGTAGCCCTTCTGTCTGTTTGGACCAGATGAGATAGCCCTCATTGCCCTTGCACATCCTGAGCCTTGGGTGCCCAATACTCTGTCGCCAGTTCGTGGTTTGTCCCTCTGCAGATCACTGTCGGCAGGTATTCACCATTGCTGAGTGGGAGCACCCCAGAGGCCTTGCTGTTTTGGAGAGTCTCCAACCCAGTCTTCTGGCTGTAACAATTTGGCCCTTGTCAAAGTTGCTCAGATCTTCACGCCTGCCCATTTCTCCCACATCCAACATGTCAACTATGAGAACCAACTGTTCACTTATGTATTTCTCTTATATATTTAATATATCCCAGACCTCGGCATGAACTGTTGTTATGAGATAATTAACATAAATCTGTGAGTGGTCGTAATGTTTTGGCTCATCAGTGTATAGTATTAAAATAGATTGTAGGTACATTGTTAAACTCTGTATGATAATCTAAGTGGATAAAAAGGTCTTTTAGAATTACAAAGCCCCAGAATTACAAAGGACAAACTTGAGTAGGCAGGGTTTCTATGTTGTAACATTTAACTACCAAATAATTGATCCTGGCAACTTTAAGTTTTGCACATGTCACTCTGGTTGTTGTGTTATTTTTTTGTTGCTGTTGTGTTGTTAAGAATGAGTAGCATCCGTTCTGTCTTGCAGTGATCGTCCCTGCAAAACCTTTTGCTAACATTTGAGCAAATCTCAGTAGGAGAGCAAACAACAGCTGCTTAGAGATTTGCTGGACATAAGGTCAGGCGCATCTCCTCAGCTCAGAGAGGAACATGGATAGTCCATCAATTCAAATGTGTTTAGGGAGCAACTGCACTGTGAGGGCAGGGGAGTTCCACCCTCTGCACGTTTCACCTTAGCTTCAGAGCTTGTCAGACATGTAATCCTTGTATGATACAGATGACAACCCAACGACTGTGGATTCAAGAGATCTCTCTCCACATCAGTGGCTTTTGCAGGCTTTGTTGTACTACTGCATTTGTATCTCTGCAGTTCATTTGCAGGGCGCTCATAAATGTAAGCTTATTAGCAAGGGCGCATGATTGGAGTTGACCAGGATCAGAATTTGCTGTTATTGACTCATAACACACAGTCATCCATTGATCAGTTTATTTTGATTTTGCATCATCTGTGTAATGATTTTATGGTGTGAATTATGAAGTCAGTCTGTGTTTCATATCAGTAAATATTCGTAGCCTGCAAAGTGCGAGGTTCAGGTAAATAAACAGTGTTGTTATGCTTGAAAATTTTGGCTAAGAAACACTGTCCAAAAATCAGTTATCAGCTGATTTGATTGTAAAGAAATGGAATCCTAAAGAATTATGATTGGTGCCCTCATTCTTATTAGACTGTCCTATTCATATTATTGAGTAGGGCTGTACAGTTTATTATACGTTTTGTCATTATCATGATATGAGTGTTCACACATTACAAAGGGTTGTGATGACAGAACAGATTAAATTACATTACATGTATTATTATATTGGTGGAAATGTAGTGTTAGGAGCAGCGTGCTTCGCTGAGGAGTGAGTGACTTAACCACTCTGCTATACAGCCAAATCACACACACATGTGCAACTACTCTGTGACTATTCTGGCTCCCATGTTTTTAAAAATGTGCGTGAAGTGTGTAATGGGTACTGTCACAACAAACCTGCGTCACTACAAGGAGCTTCCGAAGAAATTTAATATGTGTTATTGTTTTTGTAGACTCATATAAAGAAGAAAAAACACAAAAAAGCACAAAAACACAATGTGATGTTTAACCTTGTGAACTTCATTGTTTTTTTGTAATTAAACACTCATTCCAAATTTGATGCCTGCAACACATTCCTAAGAAGCTGGGACAGAAGAATGTTTACCACTGTGTTACATCACAGTTCCTTTTAACCACACTTAATAAAACGACACAAACTAATCCAGTTTTGAAACCGGATTTTTTGCCATTCTTCTGTAGTTCTTCAGCTGTGCAACCATACAGGGCCTTTGTTGTTGTTGTTTTGAGCTTAATAAGGCATGTTTTTAATGGGAGGCAGTTGTGGACTGCAGACAGGCACCTGCACTCTTGGTTTATGCAACCATGCTCTTGTAACCCCTGCAGAATGTGACTTGGAATTGATATGTTGAAGTAAGCAGATACGTTCCTGAAAAAGACGCCACCAAAAAGGCAGCATATGTTGCTCCAAAATATGTTCAGCATTAATGATGCTTTTACAAATGTGCAAGTTACCCACTAATACACCTTGATGCCATGACAGACTCTGCATTTTGAATTTTACACTGGTAACAATCTGAATGGTCCTTTTTTTCTTTTGCCCAGGGAACACTGGGTCCATTACTTCCATTAATAATCAGAAACACTGACTTCTCAGACCACAATATACATTTCCACAGTTCATCAGTCCATTTAAGATAAGTTCGAGGTCAGCATTACTGGACGTTGTCAACATATGACTTCCACTATGCGTAGTACAGTCTTGCATTTGTAGATGCAGCAACAGTGTTTACTGACGTTTTTTCAAAGTATTCTGGAGCCCCATGCGATAATACCCATCACAGAAGTGAGCAGGTTTTTAATGCAGTGCCATCTCAGGGATCAAAGGTCATGGGCATTCATTTGTGGTTTTTGGCTTTTTCCATATACATATCTTATTTTTGTGTTGTTATTGTTCAAATGCAGGTTAAATTAGATGTATAAATGACTGCTTTCTGTTTTTATTTGCATTTTACCTACTGTCCCAATTGGTAAATGGATTTGTAGTATTTCATTTTTTATTCTGCACTTTGCACAACAGTGAATAGTGAAACAGCTATTTATTTCCATATTGTGCAGCAGGATTACGGAGGGAAAATTAGAAATATTGAAGATGTTTATCTGTTTTTTTTTTAGAATTAGAGTGATGTTGCTAGTGAGCATCACACAGCCAAAAACATCTAATTCTCAGTTGGCTGTGAATCTCTGGGAAACCCAATTGGCTAAGTTCCCATTGAGTAAGGATTGGATGGAAGGATTACTCTCTGTGTCTAATCCAGAGCAATGTACTGATTCAATCAGGACGTCTTCACAGCCATGTGGTATAGTTGAGTGATTGGCATTCTCGTCCAAGTGCGCTTTTCATGCGTGACGGTAGTTGTGTGGTCTGCCCGCCCCAAAGGGACTGGTAACAGGAGACGAATAAACTGGGTAGAATATAAGATGAAAAATAGATGAAAGTACATAAAATATGAAAAAGCCCCTGAAAGCAGCTTATAGGACACGATGTGGACCATGCATATGAATATGCAAATGCTTCTTAATGATTGTACATAAAAAAACAATCTGACATGAACTTGGTGTGCAGATGGCCTCATTGTTCTTGATTATTGAGACTTCAGGGAGAGCATTCTAGCTGCATATTAGTAGTAGTATAAGCATTAGTATTATACCCACAGAGCATCCTAGCTGCATATTAGTAGTAGTATAAGCATTAGTATTATACCCACAGAGCATCCTAGCTGCATATTAGTAGTAGTATAAGCATTAGTATTATACCCACAGAGCATCCTAGCTGCATATTAGTAGTAATATGAGCATTAGTATTACACACACAGAGTATCTTGGCTGCATATTAGTATTAGGGCTGAAAATAATAATATTTTGATATTCCATTATTCATGAATTAATCAACAAGTAGTCAATCAATAGGCTTAAATGTGACCTGTAAATGTGAAGAGCTGTAACAGTAAAATGTTTGCCATCTTCTGACAAACTAAAGTACTGTTCACCAAGAGATGAATTACCACCACTCAAAAATGCATGCTGCTTTGTTTAAGCCTGTCTATATTTTTCAGCTACAGAAAGTAATAAACAATAGCTAAAATAAGTGAAAATAAATATGTAGGTTAATGTTATAGCTCTTCAGGCAGCAGCATCATTTAATCAGTGTAACATTTTAATGTGCTGGTTCAGTAGATGTGGTGTATCTGAACAGATTCTGAGACCAGCGGATGGCATTTTTTTCATGTGAAAACTATGTTTACAAATCTGTTTGTTTTTTAAGCTAATTGACCAGTTTTACATAGTTAGCCAGCTAATGTATGTAACTCTGTGGCAGGACCAGCTGCTGAATGTTCAGTAGTTTTTTGAAGTAGCAGCTGATATTTCTAATTAACGGTAACTGATATGGCTTAGAAAATTCCAGTGACTATTTAGTTAGTAATATAGCACGATAAGCTTTAGTGTTTTTGTAAGGGTAACATTAGCTCATTCTGAGAAATCACTTACGGTACGTGCTGCACGTCCTCAAGGAGTAGTTTGGTTTGTCAGAACACCAGCATGGATGAAAAACTGCCATAACACCGGGCCTCATTCACAAACCTTTCTTAAGAAGAATTTTTTTCTTAAAACTCACTTACGCAGTTTTCATGAAGATTCATACATTCACCAGTGTTTTCTTATATGAAACTTGTCCATACACTATATGGACCTCTTAATCATTGAATTCAGGTGCTTCATTCAGCATCATTGCCACAGGTGTATAAAATAAGGCACCCAGCCATGCAGTCTGCCTTTACAGACATTTGTGAAAGAATGGGTCATTCTAAAGAGCTCAGTGAATTTGAGAGTGGCACTGTTATAGGACGCCACCGCTCCAACAGTTCAGTTAGTGAAATTTCTTCCCTCCTAGATATTCCACGATCAGCTGTGAGTGGTATTATTGAAAAGTGAAAGTGTTTAGGAACCACAGCAATTCAGCGACGTAAAGTTACAGAGTGAGGTCGCCGAGTGCTGAGGCACATAGTGCATAAAAATCACTAACGCTCTGCTGACTTAATAACTGCAGAGTTACAAACCTTGTCTGGCATTTACATCAGCACAAAAACTGTGCGCAGGGAGCTTCATGGCAGCTGAAGCTGCATGCAAGCCTTACGTCACCAAGTTCAATGCCAAGCGTCAAATGAAGTGTTGTGTAAAGCACGCTGCAACTGAACTCTGGAGCAGTGGAAACTGTGGGGTGACGAATCATGCTTCTCTATCTGGCAGTCTGATGGACTAGTCTGGGTTTGGCGAATGCCAGGAGAACGTTACCTGCCTGACTGCATTGTGCCAAGTGTAAAGTTTGGTGGAGGAGGGATAATGCTATGGGGTTGTTTTTCAGCGGTTGACCTAGACCCCTTAGTTCCAGTGAAGGGAAATATTAATGCTTCAGCAGACCAAGACATTTTGGACAACTGTATGCTTCCAACTTTGTGGGAATAGTTTGGGGAAGGCCCTTTTCTGTTCCAGCATGACTGAGCCCCAGTGTACAAAGCAAGGTCCATAAAGGCATGGCTGGGTTTTTTTTTGTGTGGAAGAACGTGACTAGACCACACAGAGCCCTGACCTCAACCCCATCGAACAACTTTAGGATGAACTAGAACGGAGATTGCGAGCCAGACCCTCTCATCCAACATCAGTGTCTGACCTCACAAATGCTCTTCTGGATGAATCGGCAAATATTCCCACAGACACACTCCAAAATCTTGTAGAAAGCTTCCCAGAAGAGTGGAAGCTGTTATAGCAGCAAAGGGGCAACCAACTTCATATTATTGCCCATAGACTTAGAATGGGATGTCATAAAAGCTTTTGTAGGTGTCCCAATACTTTTGTCCATATAGTGTAGATGAGAACAGAATGTATGCACAGTCTAGAGCACAAAGCTGCGAACATTTCTGCAGTGTAAGAACACATCATAAATCTGACATAGACTTTTTCTTACAATCTTTCTCAAGAAATTTAAGGAAAAACAGGAAGATATCAGCCCATTGTGCTTACATGGAAAATAAAGTCAGACTTGCATATGTATCCTTCATTTTAAGAAAATGCCCTCAAGCTTCACTTCTTTTAAACTTTCAGCTGAAATTGTTCTTTTTCTTTGTCTATCTGCTCACATAGATATGCCACTATACGTGAATTGCTTCCCCCATCAGGTGAAGTTGTGAACTCACTTTCGATATGATGTCACTTTGAAAACATAAAGAAAAATCACTAACGGAACTCTCTATGATTTATTATTGTTGAAATCAGTAATGTCAAATAACTGTTTCAGCCCTCATTAGTGTTATCATTGGCTCATCACTAATACATTGTCTTTGTTTGCTGTTTGCTGTTTCCAGGCTTAGCAAGAGTCAAGCTGGCATTGAAATCAAGAACCTCAGCTCCAGATCAATCCTCACAGTGAGCAACATGACAGAGGATCGCTATGGCAACTACACCTGTGTGGCCGCCAACAGGTTGGGAACAGCCAACGCCAGTGTGCCTCTGATTCGTAAGTAACAAGCATTACTTCCTGTTGTTTGGCTCTCATTAAGCTCAGAGTTGCTTTTTTTGCAGATAATTTGGAAACCGATCCACATTCAGAGCTGCCTGTATACGTGACTCCTCATTTATCTGATAGAGAGGAAAAAATAATGCGCTGTTTGTTTTTGTCTTTTGTATATGGTAAAATGTGCCTCTTGTGTATGATTTCGAGGTGTTTCAAATGAATAGCTTTTTTGAGACGCGCAGCGCTTTCTTTGTGCACCCATTTTGACATCCTTAGTCATCTCTTTGATTTGGAGGTTTCAGAATCAATAATGAAAGCAGGGCTGCTAACAAGGTAAACAAATCAACCCAGACCTATATAAAAAAAGGAAGCAGATCGCCTTAAAGCTGGCAGATGGGAAGGGCCACTTGAGTCCCCTAGTTTTAAATGAAGCACATCAAAGAGATGAGGGAGCCTGAGAAATCTTTCACGTTCTGTTGAGGACTCAGAGACTGTGATGCAGGAAAAAGCCAGAATAGACCAGCAGACTTCTTCTTCTTCTCCTCCTCCTCACCTCTCCCCTTCTCTCCCTTCTGCCCCTTCTCTGTCTTCTGTCTTTTCTCCACTCGCCTCCGAGCTGCTCTCCTACTCTTTATCATGAACGCTAATGAAAAGGAAACCCATTCCACGGTTCTCCTAATGAGAGATGGCAAGCAATTCCTGCACAACACACACGGCCACATTTGCACAAATTACAAATCCAAGAGGCAGCCATCATTACCAGTGACTAAATTGCTATTATAATATCGGTCAATAGGTATTGATGAACCAAAGGTGGACCCAGGGACGCATTAATATTTAATGAAGAGCCTCGACCTAGACACAAGGTTTGGAGTGCAAATCAAAGTGCTGCGTAATAGTCCATGTTCTCCTCAGCATGAGGAATACTGTCACTGTAGGCTATTTCTAACCTGATTCAGGATCACTGATGTCATATGCCAAGCTTGGTATCAGTTAAACCCCTTAAATGGGCAGGACTACATACTTATATATTCTAAGAACAGCTCAGCTTGCATTGTAGTCCATGTAGGTACTGAATAATAAGCCTTAGTATGTAATAAACCTGAGATTTTAAGGGATTGAAGCTGTTCTGAGTGTAAATTGCAGAACCACTATGAGGTAAAATCCATGTTGGTATATTTGTAACATGCAAATTCTTCCTCTATACAGCCAACCAGCCTAATTTATCCCAGTTACCTTTTCAAAAATGCCTGTGCAAGCAACTGGGAAAGTAATCCGTGGTCCGTAGGGGCGGCTGATAGAACAATATGATATCGTTATCATGATAAATTACATCACAGTAAGATTTTGTGAGCATATAGTCAACAACACTAGCATACTGCATGTTTCATTAAGGAGAGGTTTAGAAGGAGCCGCAAGGTTTCGTCCTGTTGTAGGGATACTGTGAGTTCAAATCCCAACAATTTGTTGTCTGTTTTTGGCCCTATTTTAACTTTTGCGCCTGAATTTCCATGCAAGCCTCCATTGGAATTGAATGGCAGTGTAGATCAGTAGTCACCAACCCTCCTCCTGGAGATCTCCTTTTCTGCAGGGTTTAATTCCAACCTGTTCCTTCACATACCTACTGTAATGCATCTGCTCTGGCCAGTCAGGGACTTCTGAGGAAGTTAATTAGGTGAAACAGGTGTGGGAGGTCCACAGGATGGTAGCTCTCCAGGACCAGGGTTGATGTAGATGATCTGATAGTTCAAAAGGGGAAACAAGCCCATCTTTATCATTCCGGTCAAGCTCTGGAGTGATTGGAGGCCTCCTGATATTTTCAAACTGTATTTGTTATTTTTAAGACTAAAAACAAATCCTATAGTGTGAAATAATCAGCAGTGTAATTGCCCAACTAATTCAGGCAACAGCCAATGAGAAAGCTATAAAAGCATGCAAAGGGACGTGTATTGCTGGAAATGAAGGAGCTGCTCGTATAATACTGCCTTTATAATAACCAGATCTTCACAGTGCTCATTTTACAATATCAGGTCAGCTTGCCAGTAGTAAAATGCTCCTACATCTCTCACTGTGGAATAGAATGATATCCATATTTCCCAGCCCCATATTTATCCGGTCCAGTTTAGCTTTCTTTGTGTCGTAGGATTTTGAGTGCTTATTTGTAGCCAAAACTCTGTGTGTGCCATCTCTTTGCATAATCGTCTAGTTTGTGCACCCTTAGGACAAAAAGACATGAAATTCTTTTAAAGACTCAAGTTCCCATAATTTTTAAGTTATGTAGCATATGCCTGGCCTAAGACAGCATAATTGGCTTTGCCTAATTGGAAGTGTGTGATATTATATTAGAAAGTGTGGTGATTTAATAATTTTTGCCATACTGCCCCCCTAACAATCTATAATAATGTTTGTTATATGTATTAGAATATTCTTTCAGGAAGTTTATGTATAACCAGGGAGCCATGAAGACAATGCCAGTGATATTATAGTTTGGTGCATATGCCGATATCTCCTTATCCATTATTATCATATTGTGTCCTCTAAATCATATACAGGCATTGTGGTGGTTATGAAGGTATGAAGCAGTTTTGTAGTGAATAGCAAAGACGTGTACTCAGAGTTTGCTTTGCTTTGTTTGAAAGACAATGCAAAATTAGAGTTCTGAATTATACACTTCAGTGTCATGCATCAGCAAGATGTTTTACCGGACTTAAACTTGATATAGATGAGAATATCTGTGAGCGAACTGCAGTGATTGACCTCCATTCTCCTGTTGGATTTTAAATGAAAAAATGAAAAATATGTTTATATGTGTACAAATGTCAATTTGCAGTATTTTTTTTCTGCCTGAGCCTTGTGTTAAGAGTATTTTCAATCAATGTACGAAGCATTAACTCCTCTGCAATAATGAGCCATGTTCAGTAAATGAGTAGCTTTCTTCAGCTCTGTAAGTCGTGATATCTTCCCCACCCACTTTTTCACTTATAACCCAGCACAGCCTCCATCCGCCTCACAATACACTAAGCCAGAAATAGGAGAGAAGCGTTCTCGGCCTGAAGAAAACCGCGGCTCCACTGGTGAAGCCTCCGCACCCTCGGCAGGCTCCAGCTAATAGAGGCGCTCGTTCAATTTGCCATGCTAATCAATCACAACTCCGGTGTCATCTTTTCATGTCTCCGTGCCTGTTGTCGCCCTGGCTACCACGCCGGTACCCTGGCCTTAGCCATCAGGGGTATTGTTGTCGTGGTTACCACAGTGTGACCGCGCCTGAGTCACAGGCCAGGGACATGAAAGGAGGGATGAAATGGAAGGTGAAATAGAATAGGCACGATGTGAATTCATTCGCATGAATGTCGTTCTCGAGGCTGGAAAAGGGCCACTCACTTGTTCTCTGAATAACTCCTTGGCATGTTGCATCCATCTTAGCATGTGTGCTCCACTCCTGCTTCTATTCTTGTTCCCACATCAATCACGGATCAGATTGGCCCTGACAATACTCAGCTGCACTCGGCTGCCTTTTCGCCCTAAGCGTCTTTGGATTCTCAAAAGAGAACTGCCAAATACTGATCACACAGTGTTTATAGCAGTTCCTTTCAGAGCTTAATTTAGAGGATGTTTTACTTCATCTGAAGCCTAATCTCTATGTGCTCAAGTTGGTGTGTTCAGAATGTGGACAGTGTTGCGATATTGGTGGCATTATAGCTTTTTATTACAGTTTGTTATTTGCCATTTGAAAACTGTTGCTCCAATATCTCCGTGCTGATTTCTCCAGGAAGATGTTTTGTTGTGTTTTGTATCTTCATTTGTCGCGGTTTTCGAACCTTAATAAAATCCACAGCATCAGACAAAAAGATGGTTGAACAGCAGGAGGGGTGGCATTCATCTGTCTCATTGATTCGTGTCTCATATTCCAGCACATCAGTTTGATGCGATGGTGCTTTAAAGGATGCAGTTTCACTGCTGTTCAGCTGACTGAAACTACAGTGAAGACGCTAGTGCTCACAGGGGACAGACTCGCCAGAAAATGAGATATGTGACGCAAAGATGGTTCCTGCCTTGCCTCGGCTATAAAACACCTGCCATCCAATCATTAACGAGGCGAGCAGTTATAACAGCCTGGAGAAATAGGCTAGCCCTATAGCGAGCGCTCACCGCGCCTGCAAACCGGATGAAACAGTCAGTCAAGGATACATCCAGCGCTTCTCAATCAGCGCCTTCCATTGTGTTTCTCAAGATGAGAGTGAATTAGTCCCATTAAATGACTCATCACATGACCTTCACATTTTCATACCACACATTAAGAGGCAGGCGTAAGAGAAATGAATCCACTATCCACAGCTCATTGTCACATGCTAATGCAATATTCCTAAAAGAATCTGACAGCGCACAGCACACAGCACTCCTCTCCTATCTTTGCAATTTATGCCGCCATGAATTGTGTGGAAGTTGCACATTTTCTCTGGCCGCTGCTTGGCGAGGGAAAAACGTGATGTTATTACAGAATGAAATGCAATTCCTCGCTCCATAATGTGTTTTGTCTTGCAAGTGAGAACAGAGGTCGTCCAGCATCCACGCAGATCCACTATTATGGAATACAATGTTGCCTGCTCCATTGCCCTGTTCCCAGGCCTTAAGAAGATTGCGTGTCAAAAGATTGTACCGGTCTGAAATGGGTGTTGACGAAGAGAACACTGCAGTGTAAAAAGTATTAGCTTATGTCAAACTGTTTTGCTATATTTAGTGGCTATTAACCAATATATGCTGAAGCTTATTGTATATATGTATGAATGTATGCATTTACAAAGACCACCCTTCATTTATTTTATTTCAAATCAAAACAGCCAAGTTATTATAATGGAACTACAAGCACTCCTTTCCTTTGCAGGAACAAAGCAGAGAATATATATTTAACAGAAAATTACACAGAAGCCTCAATAACTAAATACAATATATGTTTTTTTGTATTTATTGTGTCCACACTTTGCTTTCATTATGGCTTCCATGCT